GACGGAGTCGCGGGCGACAACTAGTCAATCATAAAATTGATTTGCTAAACGTGTCCTTTGTAATTAAATAATCTGGCAACACTAGCGGACATAAAAGATGGCGTGCAAGATGGCGACGCGCCAACTATGCGCCCGCGCCGTAATATCTGACGCTCCTGACGCCACTGCTTTATAAAACACTCTTAATGCGACTATAAGAACGTCTGTCGCCATTTAAGGAGCCACTTGACTTTCGAGTTTAATATTGGATTAGTAAGATCCATTGGTTAATGAAAGCACTCCTTGTAAACGAATTGGTAAACATTCAATGTGCATATTGCAATTTTATCGTTATGAAAACGACTGTTAAAACTTGCTCGCAAGTGAATTCATTAATACTATCAATTGACATGGCTTCTGTGGTACTAATTTTGAAACTAGTTAAAGACAATCCTTACTAATATTATAAATGCGAAAATAACTCTGTCTGTCCTTCTTTCACGCAAAAATTACTTAACCGACTTCAATGAAATTTGCTACACGGACAGTCTAGAGCCTGGAAAAGGATATAGGCTACTTTTTAGTGCTAAAAAGCGGTTGTAAGGGGTTGAAAGTGGGGTTTGGAAATTTGTATGAAGTATCGTCATTTTTACTGATTGAAACTTATTTTTTAGGCTGTTAATATTTAACTTTTATTTGCTTTTCTTCTTAGACTATTTTCAAGATTTTTTGCTTTACTTATTGTATGTAGAGGGAGGGAAAAGTAATTACATTGCTTATAATTCGAGTAAGCACGTTATTATCATATCGAATCAATTATCACGCGAATCTAAAATGAATTCAGAACATTCGCAGAAATCATCGCCAAATGATTCAGAGCTTTGATTCTGTGAACATTACTTGAGCTGTTTTCCTCTTTTGTTTTTAATACTTCACTTTTAAAATTATACACGCTAAATGCAATGAAAGTGTTAAAAAATTTCACGCTTTGAAATAACAAACTGACTTAAATTTAAAACATTAGTGAAAGTCCTGTTTACAATATTTTATTGTATTTTCTATTTGAACGAAATGTGTAGAAGAATTCCTATGAAACTTTTTACCTACCAAATATAAGTGTAGTAGTACCAAGATAAAATAAGAATATAGGATATTCGTGTACCGTAACACAAGGAAATAAATATTATTGACGTGTAGGAGGTGCAAATGCATCCCATACAAATGTTCCGTGTCCATAACGGTTATTTTTTGTTTTGAGAAACTTCTATTGTACATATAACATACTGTCCACTGCCATGTCTACAAAGAAAATAAGGAGATAATGGAGTTTTTAAAAGTAAAAAAAAATGTGAATCCAATGTCCAGTTTTCATCAAAATTTTGTCAACGATTTTATTAAGAAGACAAGTAACCTCTGATCTCTATAAGTTGATAGGCAATCGTTTGGAAATTACTAATTTTGTTTCGTTCCGTCTGTTGAACTTACTGAAAGTTTCTTCCCATATTATTAGTTCGAATCCTCACCACCGCTACTAACTGCAACCGTCAAAGGTGTCTCCAAAATGGACGAAAATCAAAAAGGCACAAAATACCAAGGTTTATAGCCTGTCCATTTATAGTGTTCAGTGCAAGAAACCTTATAAAGCTAAAAAGTCAACCTGCCAGACATTTAAAGTTACTTAAAAACGGTTTTGGAAAGAGCAAAAGCTTGTAGTATGCTAATTAATAGATCTTCCATCCAGATCGGAATTTTTAAAATTTACTCAAACTCCTCATCTCACTTTCTCGTTGCATTTCCATTGTTATTCTTTTCAAAAGCATTTATCTCGCAGTTAAATTTTATCAGATAAATATAAATAATGGAATAACTAACGTGGTTAATAACAGTTATTTAGTTTACCGCTAACCGAAAACCGATGAAGAAATAATTTCACGTGTGCATAACAGTACTGGTCGATGCGAATTTACGGTGATTCGCGATTTTTTACAACCTCCCGTGCGTCTGACTCATTTTAAACTTTCACATTTTAGACAATAACTGCATTCTTTTATTGTCTCTTATTTACTGTTATGTATTGAAACCGTGTGCCCCAGTGGCTGAAAGTGCTGATTTTTACATAACACATTCTAGATTTTCTTGTGTTACCCATATTATAACACTAAGTCGTAATGGACTTAACAACCTCATTTGCTTTAAAATTAATCATAAATATATCTTATGTCGAAAAACGGAGCGTCGGTGGCTCAGTGGTCAAGCACTTGACTTGCAATCTGCAGGTCCTGGGTTCGAACCCCGCCATGTACCAATGTGTTTTTCGATTTCCGATTTACATATGTACATTTATCCGACGTTCTAACGGTGAAGGAAATCATCGTGATGCAACCTGCACATATCTGAGAAGAAATTCAAAGATATGTGTGAAATCAACCAACACGCACTTGGCCAGCGTGGTTGACTATGGCCTAATCACCTTTAATTTAGGGTAGGCTCCGAGCTCCTCGGTGGGGAAGTACAGTGACCTGATGATGATGATGTCGAAAAACGAAGTAATTTCATTATTTCTTAGTTTCTTCGATCAGCTAGTAAAATTTAATCGTTATGAATATCGTAATTATCCAAGTGTAATAGGGCTGGTACAGATTTATAAATATTTATTTTAACTCTTGCATATAAAAATTCTTGGGAGTAACAACATATCGTAAAGATAATCCAGAAGACTACATTTTTATAAACGTAATTACAATGCAACTCATTCCTTAACCGCAAATAACTTACGGCATACCGAAGTATGTACATTGTCCAACGCATCTTACGGTTCTAAGAACTATTTATTAATAATATTAGAAGTCGACTTTTATAATTAATTTCTGAGAGTCATGTCTTAAGTTTATTAAAATCTACTAAAGAAATTCACTTAAAATAAATCCTACACAATTCCACAACGATCATTGTCTTAACCTTATACCTAGGTGGGGTTGGCGCTCTAGTTTTGGTACTCCAAATCAATCATTCGTCATTTTAATCGTCACTTCTTAATCTTGTCACTTTTTACAAAACCTTTTCATCTCTTTGTAGGCCTGCCTATCGATATATCTTTCTACATTCATTTTGTTTTTTCTATTCAATTGGTTTTTCTTTAAAGTTCTTATTCTTTAGGATAGCTTAAAGAGTGTTGGTAACTGGCCGAATCAATCTAGTCGCGATTCACTTTGAAATTTATTTCACCGGATTGAATATTTGCGAAGATTTTACGTCGATTACGTCACAAACACAAACATTTGGATACGTGTTTACAACTTGCAGCGGATACTGAAAGTTTTATGGTCTGTGAATCGTATTTCCAACCTTAACCTACATCAAGTTAAAACAAATACTATAACAATTCGATTCATAACATTTTATAATCTGATTAGATGTTAAAAAAATATTTATCAATCAAATAACACATTTAAACATCTTGTCTAATAAACCATTGTGGAAATATAAATAAAAAAAGTTATATTGGAAATTACACATCCTAAACATAAATTCCAATGCTAACCACAAAAAAAAATTAAAAAAGAACCAACGAATTCCGTAACCATAAGCAAAGAATTAATCACAAAATTCCTGATATTAAAAACAAAACCTCAAACTAAAGCCTCAAGCATTTCGCGAGACTGACCTATGAGTCATGATGGACCGTTTGAATGAAGACGAATATAGAATGCATTCGAGCTACAAGTACGCGTAGGGCAGGTGAATCAGGAAATATATCCCACGCTATTGTTCCAGAAATATTACTACTAAAATAAATACTGGCTAGCAGCCCTAACATTTGTCAACATGTTTAATAAACGATAATCTAAATGATTTTGATTATAATCGTACTTATTGTTATGAATTGGTCGTGACTGTACAAAGACAGTTTTATAGAAATAATATACAGTTGTTTTTGGCAGTGTACTCTTCAGTTTAACATATCTTGCTCTAGTTATTTACACTTAGGCTAGTAGTCTATATAAATTTTCAGTGAAGACTGACGAACCTTTGTTTGTTAAATGCAATAATTACATTCAATTTATAGCCATTACTTTAAATTTAAAAAGCAATTAAATTTAATATTTTAAATGTAAATAAATCTTGTTAACAAACCGCACACTTAACAATGCATTTAGTATGATAAAATAGTTAATTAATTTGCTATAGCTTTGAATACATTGCTATTGTGTTTTATTACTATGTAGGTATCATTGCATACTTTAGATACGATCTCAAGTTGTCATACAAGGTAGATATACTGATGAAGTTTCCTAAGGAATGCACAACATACTCATAGTAAGTTATCGACAACTGTTTTTATTGTTGTGTTGGAAATATCTACATTAAAATGTAGTAATGAAATGATTTACATATGCAGTATTATGTAAGTAGGACATACAATTAAAATGACCGTAATATCGTAAGTGACAGTATTTTCATATTCTCGCCTTCTTTTATTCGAATAAGAATGCGATGTAAGAAAAGAAAATTACTCTTGAGAATATTAGCAAAGATATGAGTAATATTTTTTTTTTGAAAATAATATTAGAACACATCGGTGAAGTTTTAATCTAAAATTACATTACGCTTTGAAATAAAAGAGAATCGTATGATGTTTAAAAGAAACTTTGTCACTCACGCCATGTGCCGGACGTTAGATTTTTTATCCTGACAATATTATTTCAGATCTGTTACAAATGATGCCAAATTCTTTTTATAACATCGAGACTTTAGTATTTATTTCAATTTGTCGCATTATGAGGTGATGAATATAAATTTTTTTATATGTATTAATAAGACGTGATCCACAGATTCCTTTTGATTTTCCTCATTTGATAATATCTGGCAAATACCATCAATCGCATCAGTGTTTCCGTGATATTATAACGTTGTCTTTAAGTAGTTGGCGAATATGCCAATCCTATTGCGTCCTTTTCATTACAAACATGTTGGCCAAACGTTGGTTTTATCAATAAAATAAATGACAATGCAATACTTACAGTTCAAGTACGACGCACATATATTTGCCCCAGTCGTAGGCGTCGTAAAGTTGTATGAGGCGCGGGTGACGCAGCCGACGCATCACGTCCACCTCGCGCTCAACATTCCGCCGTTCGTCTCTTCTACTGACAGACACCAGTTTGGCAGCTAACTCCAGACCGGTGCTCTTCTCACGGCATAAGTATACTGTGCCGAATTTGCCGCTGCAAAAGAACATAGACTTACTTCTGAACTCAGATTTGTTTGAATACTAAAAGTGTACATTCATTATAATAAATTTACAACGGCTCGAGGTTCGACAGTTATGGGACAGTTATATACAAGCACCAGAAGATTTCTGAATGCCGCAAAAGGTTAAGGACGAGTGAACCTTTTAATTTTTTAACACATTTGTCTAACTCAGTCTTTTCCAAAGTGGGCGATAACGCCCCCTTGTGGGCGCTGCAGGTCTCAAGTTGCGGGTTATAGTAAAAGTTTTGTTTAGAATTCTCCGTTAATATACAGGTCACAATAATTAATTAATTTAATTTGAAGTTATAGTAGTTTTTAAATATGTGAAAATATGGGGGGCGCTAAAAAATATTTATTCTCAAAGTGGGCAGTAGACAAAATAAGTTTGGGAAGCACTCTGGTCTAACTCCTGCTTTCCCTATTTTACCGTAATGTTTCTCTAATATTTTGGAAATTTTAAGAACTTATTTGAAGCAATACCAGTCAAGACTGTTATTAGTTAATCTGAATATTTTGCAGGATTTCTTCTAAACTTCTATATAAGATGTATGACAAATCTTACATTACACGCATATTAACATGTTATAACTTCAAGATGGCGTAAATCATTGTGTAATTTATTTGATGTTAAAGTCGGTAAAACCTCGAATGACATTTGTGCAGTTTTGTGACGAAAAATTACGTGCTATACTCATGTGACTCACCGACCAATCTCCGACAGCATTTCGAAAAAGTCATTGACATCCGTGCCGCGTTTGATGGAGACATCGCGACAGGGGAACGGCGGCTCTATCTCTGGAAAAGAAAATATTTTTTTTATACAATCAATAATCTCTTCTTAGCCCTCATTTATTCAACCCCTTATTCAATTGCATGCATTTTGCCATGTGTGATTACTATATCTATAAGAAACGTTAAGTGGCCAAACAATGTACCATTTACCCTAGGGCGGCTGCGATTGTCGTAGAAAAAGTCGTGCGTTTAATCGAATATAAGTTTAACCTAATGTTAATTGTTTAAAATATAAAATACAGATAACAAAAAACATTATAAAAAATCAGTATAATTCTTATCTTAATTTAAAAACACATTTTTATGTCATTTATAACGTGTAGGTATTAACGATATTTTAATTACTTTAAACACTTATCAAATTTTTGAAATGATGTTAATTAATTCTTGTAGTATATGTTTTTTATCAGAGTAACCGAGACCATTTTTATAAGGTCATCAAGGAAATTACCAAGCGGCCACCTAGAAATGCCGAAATAGTGAATAAACTGCTACCCATAGACTTCATCAAAGGAGGGACATATAGACAGAGAATATTTCCTATACGACTCTCCTCCTTCAAATCCACTTCTCCTTTCCAAATGTACCACACTCATCAGACAATCCGTGGACTTGCAACCACTTCACGCCTGTCTTCTGTCAGTTAATTAGTGCAACAGATGTTGAGCTGGCCTCTACCACTGTGCCGTTGTCATAGCAAAAGCTGTTCACAGTATAGTTCCCTTGTAAGGAAAAGGGTAGTACATATGATTTATCTGTTTAATTTTAAACTTAGTATTTAGAGCTTCGAAAATCATATCTCATATGTCAAAACGCTTTCCAATTTCTCGGTACTACATACTTGCAGATATGACACTTTCTAAAACTTGTTTGTTATTTTTTTGCAATTGGAAAGTACCAAGTGACAACAAATGAGTTTGTTTTAGAACACACTATCGGTAAACAAAGACGATATATGCATACACCTAAAATAATTGGGGTAAATGCGACTAGTATAGTCTGAATTATATTATGCAGACATTTGCAAAGACTGAATGTATGTGTTCCTTTGTCATGTTTAAAGGTAATATAGTCGAACCTGGATAAGCGAGAAACCTTTATAAGCGAGAGTTATTACCCGGTTACGATGGACGATCTCTATAAGCGAGAAACTCAGATAAAAGAGAAACCTTTATAAGTAATAATATCGCGGTCCCTTGAACTCTCGGTTATTCAGGACTAACGATAGTATTGACTAGACGTCGCCCGCGACTCCGTCCACACGGAATAAAAATAAAAATTTTCAGACTACGTTCTACATCCCTGCCAAATTTGATCGAGATCCGTTGAGCCGTTCTACAGATACCTTTAAACTATTATAACATACATCCATCTAAACATTCGCATTTATTATATTAGTAAAAAGTAAGATAACTACGTTGATTTCAATGAAAATTAATTTACCTCAGTTATGTATAAGCCGGTTTCTCTAAAACCAAGATTTCAATCCTTCGTCAGACAATATCGATGTTTGAATCGTAGAGTTATGGTGATTATATGTTTACGTAATTGTTTCAGATTATAACAAACTTGTCTAGATTGTTAAATTAGAACTGTACGAGCGAGATTTCGTCATCAGACGTGACAAATGATCTTGCGTTCGGCGCTGTCATCGCCCGACACTGAGGGTTGCCAACATGACAATTTAAATCTCCATTGAAAATTTTAAATGTCCATTAATTTTATAATACAAATCCATTGATATATTTTATATCTGAGAAGATAACATTATCAATTACTTCGACCTTTACAAGGTTGTAGTACGAGATTGGTTGTATTCACTTTTTAATCAGAATACTACACGAGGTAATAAAGCTCGACAATGTCATACTGTATACTCACTATCCACATGTGAAAGTAAAACAACAACTAAGTTAGTAATATCAATAATTAGTTTGAAAACAAATTAGGTCAGACCACTACACAATTTTATATCCATCGAGATTGTCACGTCCTAATTAATGTTTACATTATATGCAACACAGTACATATCAACGTTGTCATAAATTTCCATTGTCGTCGCCATAAAATATTTTATCGGCGTATAAAAGTAAAATCATGTAGACCGTAAGAAAGTCAAGCAACACGGGTTTCTGATAAGGCTACGCTGTGTTTTATATATTCATAAGTAGGTCGAATGCGTTATTGCTTATCCGTAATGATCGGCACCGGTTTCGCTCAGTACGCACCTATAATCGTGCTGCACGATAAACTAAAAGATAAGGGAGAAAAAAATCGAGCTCTCGCGACCGTATTACGCTAATGGTGTTGCCAGATGTGGAGAAAGCTGGAGTCGTTTGAACCTACATCGCCAAAGTTTATCTTAATAGATGGCAATGCACTCTGTGTGCTGGCCTAGTTAACTTTTTTAAAGTCATAGTACTTCTGTTTTTGAATTATAAGTAAATATACATATTTCATTATATTGTGAATCGAATTAAAGATACGAAAAATATGTGCCTTGGTGTAGAACATAAAAGCCAAAATATTACATCAGGTTAGGTTAAGCGTGGCAAATATTTTTAGTAGCTCATTTGTTATTTACATAACTTGTATATACATTCGAATATTATTTGTTTTAATGGTAACTTTGTCATTGTCTAGTATTCTCCCACAATTTGGCATATTCCCGAACGCTGGCAACCCTCGAGGCCGCTGTCGCCGGCGGCGATCTGAACCACCCGACGCTCCCCGGTCAAAAATAAAGACGGATTCCTTTCTTCTGCCAAAAATCATGTGTTTTTGTTTATTTTATTCACGATCGTCCAATCTATTTCAATGCACGCCTCTATTGATATAACATTGCGTGTCAGTATCGAATTTATCAAGAATATCCATCTATTAATCGTTCAGTGAGTCATTCCTATAAATGGTAATATAAATAAGCACAAATATACTACGTTAAACGTACGGCCACGTGTTATTTGTCATAACGATTTAATTAGAAGATCGCAAGAACTTGATTTGTAGTTTCGAGATAAACGACGATTCGAAATTGATAAACAAGAAGTAAGAAAAAAGGAATAAAAAAACCTATAAGAAATACTAACAAATATCGCAGATATAAAATACAGGGTGTCCCAAAATATTACGTACATAGGAAGGGGGATGATAGGGGATGGGGATGAAAAAAATAAAGGGCATTTTTTTAAAACTTAAAAATTTTACACCTTCTGGGGAAATTTTGTAACCAATGACCTACAAATATTGCTACATTTAAAAAAGGTATTATGTTATCGTCAATAACCCTTTGTCAATATGAAATTAAAAAAAAAAACAATACAACTAACAAAGATTTTAAAGAAAATTAAAATTGCCCCAGAAGGTGTAAAATTTTTAAGTTTTTAATAAAATGCCATTTATTTTTTTTAATACCCAGAGGGGAATTTTTATTTTATTTTTCTGGTGACCCTTGTGACCACCCTTATCATCCCCCTTCCTATGTACGTAACCTTTTGGCACACCCTGTATACTATAAAAATTAATATATTTAAATTCAAAATACATTTTGAATATGAATAAAAGAAAGAATAGCGAAATTAGTGCAATAAAATTGATGACGTCATCGATCGTATTTACACAGATGTAAGAACGTGAGTACATAGCACTGCAAATGTAGACATTCCAAACATAGTATTAAGAGTTAAACAGAAATGACACAAGTTCAGAAAACTGAATAAGTAAAGAATGTTTACTATACTATAATGTTACTGAAAAAAAAACATCGAAAAAAAGAAATAACATCCAAAGGTGAACGACTTTAGCGTAAACAATGTACATTATTAAAATGCAAACGTCGAACAATATTATTAAACAATAAAATTGTATCCAATACATTTGATTAAAATGTGCAATAATTTAGTCAAATACATTCTTTACTCCGAAACATAAATAATTTGCAAGAAATCATGTGTTGATAACATTAAAATAATTATAATTATGAAACACACTAAAAGGTTTTATGAAAATAAAAAAAAATAAAAAAACTTTCTTACCGCCTACTGGATCTGTCTCGTCCACGTGGATCATATCGGGTATTCTGTAAAAAAAAAGAAAATTTAAAAAAAAATACCAACATAACAAAATTCGTTTTAATATATTGACTCGTAAACACATATAGATTTTTTATTAATTTTTGTTTGCTCTTTTTTCATTTCAAAATGTAATGAAAACAATTAGTAATAAGTAAATATTAAATTTAGGGTAGACTTACACCCCCAACTTAAGATAAACTAGATATTATTTATTTGAATTACTAATTACATTGAAGGTCTGCGGTCTCTGCCTATTCCTTAGTGTTATAGGCGTGAGGTATGTCATTGTTTGTTGTTGTAATTAAATTAAAAGACGGAACACAACGACTATTAAAACAATTTGGTTTAATGTTGCTATAAATTTAAAAAAGAATTATAATTATTATTTATTACCGATAAATGACAATGCCAAAAATAATCGGTATAAAATACCGGTTTTTTTACAACACTACGGGGAAACTTCGCGCCAAAAAGCCCGTCATAAGTGGGGCATCGAAACTGGACAGCGCTCGGCCTCTCAATATTCGATGAATTTAATAATTTCCCTTCCGAAAATGTTCCCGCGTGAAAGCTGTGCATAAAGCGATGAATAAACTTGATTCATGAATGTTTACATGTATTTAGAGATTTTATAGCGTTCATTATAGTTTCATATCGATAGAGTTCACGCTAAACGTGGCAATTGTAGAGGCCAACATAATGAAGGAGATTGTTCCTTAGAATTGCAACGAAGTTCTTTACTTTTAAAAGGATTTCTGAGTTTAAATCGTGTCTTTACATCCGGCATTCAGAAATATAGCATGAATCCTAGCTTTTGACACTGAGGAACACTTAATTTTCACATATTATCATTAATTACAGTTCAATGTTGAAGCTCTTGATTATTTACTGTAATAATATTTTATTTTTAGTCAAAAAAAAAGATTTCTCATATTTTAATAGGCTGTACCGTGCAATGAATGTTTATAATCTACACAATAGTTGTGCGTGGAATGTTACCGGCCAGTAATACCAAGGCCGCATAAACTCCATTGTGACATTCTAGACAAGCAGGGCACTCTCCAGCGATTTATAATAAGCTCGACTGCAACAGTATTCGGGTCATCTATTTAGGTTTACGAACGAACGTTACGGGACATGTTATTACGATCATACAGCCCTGGTCACGATTCCGAACGCACGATTACATTGCAAATGATGTCTTTTGTCTATTGTTCAACTGGACTATACACGCTCTCTATGGCAAATGATAGAAGTGGCTCTATGTACAAAGTGCCTTTGCCTTTCTAAAACTCAAAGCTGATTTACCAAAACGCTTATTAGAATTTTTAGTATGTTAATTTTATATTTACAGATTTTATGACAAAGGAAACAAATTGTTTTTTTCCGCTCTTCGTTTATTGAGTTAATTCCATTGCCAACATAAAATAGTTACGTAAGAGTTCTCTATTAAATAAAAACCGTTAAATATACCAGTAGACAGATAAATGGTATTTTAAGTGTGGTACATAAAATTAGAATGTTTTATCTACATTGCGTTATTTTGGCAAAATGAATGCAAAACGTTTATTTAATAGATATCATCAATTAAAGTCTGTTACCGCAACATGTTTGCTTTAAAAAAAAACATTATGTACCGTACGTAAAAAGAAACGCGACTTCGTTCCGGCATTTCATGGTTCATAAAAAATATGTCTGAGATCGTAGTTAAAAGAGCACAAGGACGTATAAACTTAAATCACAGATTAATTTAAAATAAATAATTAAACAAATTAATACATATTCAGAAAATATCAATAATTTTTTATGTAATTCAGAGTAAAATTAAATACCAAAAATTGGTTTCAGAATTAAATTATCGTATGTTATTTAATCTGGATTGTTAAGCGATTGACGATTGTTATTCCACTTATCCCTGTTTAAACATTTATAGGAAATATCACAAAGAGTTAGTTTACTTTAAAAACCGATAAAATGTACGATTCGCGATATTGCACATCACTATTCTCGTCACGTACTAGCGTAGGAAGATATGTGTCATGTTTACGGATTATCTAAGTAAAATACAGCCACTAAATTTATCACAGACAACTTGAATCTACAAATTTATTTGCTGTCAACAATCGTGCTCCTATTTTACATACTGACTTGTTACTTTCAAAATGAAAAATGATTCAGATATGCATTTATGTTTATCAAGAACAAGTGAAATTTAAAATTTTACTGAATAGAAATGTTCATTAGAATACGCGGCACGTCACTAGTGATGCGCTCGTACTTTAACATGTTAGCTGCCAGAATGATTTTTCGAGAAACGAAAAAGATTGACCCGCTGTTTATAAGCTTTATGGGACCTTGCGGATCACGCTGTATACAACAATTCGATTAAAAAACGTCCGACAAGCCACAGCGAGGTGTTGAATAGAAGTATGGCTTGTCTGACACATAGTCCGACACGGCCTGATTGAAACGTTAGCTTGTCGGACATATAGTCCGACATGGCAGCTAACGTGTTAAGCGGGTCTATGATTTTTTTAAATCGTTAAATCCTAAATAAATACCCATGAGAATTGTATAATAATTTATTCCATATTTCGATAGATGCAGAAAAGTTTGTTCTGTATTAGTGATGCGACCCGACTTCTCTCGATGGTACCGGCATTAATTTACGTCTCACGTTTCGTGATTGAGAAACATCTGTATAGTTATCATAAGATCGTCATCTGTTGAGTTACAGTATATATTTAGTATTGGATTACATTACAAACAAACAGACATGTATTTAACAACAACATTGCTTACAATCATAATATATCATTGTTTCTATTCTGATGACAGTTGCAGTATGAAAGCAATTCACTAATAGGAATAGATAAATTACATAGCGTGTAAATATTATGAAAGTCCTGAAATTTAGACCATTAATACACAATAAATAAACATCTCTTAAGGTAATAGTGATTTTAGATGTTCCTTAAAAACATACTTCTATGTACAGTCAGGGCTCTACGCGGTGTTTCATGATGTTCTACATAAAATTAGTCGTGTAACCCTAACCGACCTTTTTTCGTATAGAAACTTTTAAAAGCCGCGTTCTTTAAGCAATTGTTTCTCGATGTATCATTGATTACGAAACCTTGAAACAAATAGCTATTAGGATGTAATACCGTCTGATTCCCGATAAAACCATCGAGGATATTTATTTCCTAACCATTTCGTTGCTGAATCATAGTTCTTACGGTGACAGTGTACTAAGTGGGACGGAAATTTATTTCTTTGATTATAAAATTTTCATCTCGAACACAAAACGTGTAGCAGTAGAGGTATGGTCACTTCAATGTCTTAGTAGCGCCATACGACTCGTCTCTTGTCAGCTTTCTCGTGTCAAGGTGACATTCTCTCTGAGTCGGCACGTGGGCAATAGTGAGTGTTGTACGTTGACTGATTGCTGGCGACTTGCAAATGCATGTGTTGGTTTATTTGATAAAATGAAATAACGCATGGCATGATGTTATCTTTTTTTGACAATAGAAAATTATGAACATGCAATGTTCATTTCATTGTGACCTGAAGTCGACTTTGATAAGATGTTATACGATTCCTATTTTCTCCCTTAATAAGTAGCTGTTTATTTAAGGATGTTTTCCTAGTTATCTAAATCCAATATGGATAAATCTAAATAAATTATTACTTATTTGGCTTCTTAGGTTATAAAATATATTCAAAACAATATTTTATCTGTGGTCGTTTCCCGCGCATAAATTCTTCATTCCCGTTTCAGATGTCACTTGTTACTTATGGTTAGCGTTTGGCATGTCTCTCCGTTGATAAGTCTAGACATCTTGTCCTATAAATTTCTTAAAGATCAAGAAGCCAAGTATTTATTATTCAGTTACGAATCTAGAGTTCTAGGTAACTTTGGAATTAAGACTTCAGTGGCGGCCTATTTAGGTTTCACAAGGTTGGATATGTTTTTTACATTACATTATTATTTAATTAAATATTGCCTTCATCATCAGCTCACTATACGTCCCCACTGAGGAGCTTGGAGCCTACCCAAAGTTAACCACGCTGGCCCAGTGCGGGTTGGTGGACTACACACATATCATTGAATTTCTTCTCATATATGTGCAGATTGCATCACGATGTTTTCCTTCACCGTAAGAACGTCGGATAAATGTACATATGTAAATCGGAAATCTAAAAACACATTGGTACATGACGGGATTCGAACCCAGGACCTGGAGATTGCAAGTCAAGTGCTTGACCCCTGAGCCACTGACGCTCCTATCTTACTTATGAATAATGTAGTATTGTAATGGTGAAAGATTGTTTTTTAAACCAGTCAAGTTGTTTTAAGTTTACTGCTTATAAATATAGATAAGTTTCCTCAGTTATAAATCAGCTCTAATATTAGACTATTCAAGACCTAGATGACGAAATATATCAAGATCACTAAAACACTTTAATTTACAGACATAATTACTTAGATGTTGACAGTTTGTCATATTTCGTAATTGCCTACATCTTTATAATTATTCTGACATTTTAGTTGTGTAATAAATATTCCTTGAGTCATTGGATTTATACGAAACACAATTTATAAAATAGGACCCAAAACTGCATAATCATTGAGATGTATTTACTTTACTATATGACTTAGCAGAGCTCAATAGAGCTAAATGCGACACATATTAAAAATTGAAAAATAACTTCAAATTGTTGCTGCAATCCCTGCTGCTAAATTTCTTCCTTCAACTTCGTTTCCGGCCCCCCAGGTCTAATTTAAAAAGCATCGTATTTTAAAACGTTACCTTAAAACGCCTTTTAACGAACGATAAAAAAGCGTACTTGCGTATAACTTGCCTTCCACAATATGCTTAGATTTTATTATAAGAAAAAATAAAAGAATATTAGTCACGTGTAGATTTGAGGAACAACAAAACGCCTCCGTACTGTCTAAGTGGTGCCTTATCAACAAAATTATATGGTCTTGTGTACGTAT